CTATTATTCCATTGAAACTGCTGGGAGTAAACTATCTGCTGCAGACACCCGTATCCAACCTCTTCCTTGAATCTCCACCCCCATGTCTAATAGGTTTCTCAAACCCACCCTCCACCCTCTCCTCTACCCATCTGCTCAATACAGTGATCTGTACACAATCATCCAAACGCTTTGCCTGCAATCCCTAGTCCATTCAGGGGTTCTACACCTAGTCTGCACAGCATAATCACCCAGGATTTTTAAAAGATTTCAGTACCCAACTTCCAGCCCCTAACATTCTTATTTAATTGGCATGAGGTGTGAACTGGGCCTTAGGGGGTTGATAAGCTTCCCAGGTGATTCTAATGTGCACCAAAGCGTGGAAACCACTGCTCTAACGTTATGCTTTGATATTCCCTTTTCTTCAACTCTCACATCCAACTTATGTCTTCCTTCAAAACACACAATGGAGTGGTCCTCATCTCCCTATACCCACCACAGCCTTCCTGGTCCAAGCACCATTGTCTCTCACTGGACAACTGCAAACAGCCTCCCAGTTCTTCCCATAATAGCCAGAGGGGTAACTCTAAAAGCATAAATCAGACATCACTTCCCTGCTTAATCTAATCTTCCCCTCACTTTTCTGTCTTGGAGCTGGCCATTAAAAATTCTCTGACCTACCTTATCTGATCATAGGTGATTGCACCCCCATTTCAGGAGGTCCTGCCCTGAACCCAAGAAGAAGGAATGCTGCACAGAAAAGCTGGGAAGAATCTGGACAGGCCTTGCTGGATTTCTCCACCCAGGCTGTTAGTGTTTGATACCACCGTTTTTGCCCAATCACATTTCTACATGGTTGTCCATGCTTCAGTCATGCCTATGTAATGAAGCTTCCATAAAAACCCAAGAGCACAGGGTTTGGGGAGCTTCCAGATAGCTGAACACGTGGAGGTTCCTAGAGGGTGGGCAGCCGGGAGAGAGCATGGAAGCTCTGTGCTCCTTTCACCCATATCTCACCTTATGTGCCTCTTCATCTATATCCTTTGTACTACCCTTTATAATAAACGAGCAAACGTACATGTTTCCCTGAGTTCCGTGAGTCACTCTAGCAAATTAATCAAACCCGAGGCGGTTGTGGGAACCCAATTTATAGCCAGCAGGTCAGAGAACAGGCAAAACAGCCTGGAGCTTGCAACTTGCACCTGAAATGTGTGGGGCGGGGTGGGGATAGGGGGTGATCTTGGGGACTGAGCCCTCAACCTGTGTGATCTAATGCTATCTCCAGGTAGAGAGTGTCAGAATTGAATAAGAGGACACTCAGCTGGTGTCCAAAGAAGAATTGCTTGTTGTGTGGGGAGAAACCCCATACAATCGGTCACAGAAGTCTTCTGTTTTGATTGCTGCTAAGTAACAGTATAGCAAAACCCCTCTAGCTTGCTTATTCCCATCTATTCTCAAGTATCTTAATTTTCTTCATCCAGTTTTCCATATTTTCTTCATTTTTGGTGATAAACGTGTGAATTCTTGAGTTATCATTATGAGATAAAATAAGCTATTTCAAAAAGAAAGAGCCTAAATGTATCAGGTAATCAGGTATTTCCTTGTCCTTAGTTTGTGCATGGTGGGTAGTGGCTAGAGAGTAGGGGAGATAAGCATATTGACTAAATCTCAGCGTTTCTACAGCAATGACCATGTTGGCCCCAGGATGAACTTCAGGGATCTATCCAGCAGATGAAAGACTTTCGACCAATCCTAACAACTCCTACATCATTTCTTCACTCCAATTCTTTTTTTTTTTTTCCTTTTTGTCTTTTTTACTGACCGGCAACGGGATTGCAACCCTCGGTGTTGCGCCCGCACCGCGCTCAGCCAGTGAGCGGGAACCGGTCTCCACATGGGATCCGAATCCTCGGCGGGAGCGCCGCCGCACTCCAAAGCAGCGCACTCTCCAGTGCGTCACCTGGCCAGCCCTTCACTCCAATTCTTACTATGAACTAATTTCTTCATGATTTACTTGGTTTGCGAGAGGAAAAAATAAGTAAATAAAAGTCCAGTTAGGTGAGGCTCTGGGGTAGTTGGGCATCAACTAGAGGAAGTTGAGAGAAAAATAAAAATAAAAAACAAAGAAGGAAACTTTGGTTACCTTCTCAGCACAGCTTTCATAACCTAAATGACATGGTCATCCTAATCCTAAAAAGTACCCTGAAAGAAGGTCATAGGGTTTTTCATTTTCAATTAGAGCCACCCACAAAAGATGAGCACGCTAACTTTCAGGAATTTCCCTAAAGACAATCATGCCACCAATTTCCTACAAAATCATCTCCGATCACCACTTTGCTGCCTCAGACCAACAGAAAAGCAGAACTAGTGCTGCACACTGAAATATGCTGCTTCTGAACAAGCCACACTTCTTTTGAAAACATATTGAAGAATCAGCTGTCTGGGGCAGAGCTAAGTAATGGGAAACTCCATTTCTCAGCAATACAGGATTGCAAACGCTGTTATAGCTGGAGAAAGTGGCTGGAATTATGGCATTTTCTAACATTTTTCTTTCCCTAACATTTTCAATGTGTCCAATTTAATAGTTATCATACTAATGACTCTCCCTAAGTAAAAGTAAAAGAAGTTATAAAGAAATAATCATATTTTTCTCTCAAAGCATTGAATTTACCTTGAATTTGGACAAGGTGACTTCAGTGTCATACTGGTAAATACATCGATTCACCCTGTCTCTAGCAAATTCTTCTAGCTGGTATAGGTGATAACAATCTTTTTAAAAGCCCACCATTTAAATTGAAGCTCTTCTGGAATTACACCAAGGACAATCTTCCAGAACCTTCAGCCTCACGAGTCACCAATTATTGCCTGGCAGATGTTTTAGGCTGAAACTACAGAGATGGGGGGCGGGTAGGGGTTCAAAAATACTGATGCCCAGGTTCCACTCTGAGCCCTTCTGGCCTAACTGGTGTGAGCGCAGCCCATCAGGATTTTAAAAAGCTCCCCAGGTGACTCTAATGTGCAACCAAGTTTGAAAACCTACGCCTTAGATGGTACCAAGGGGAGGTAACAAATGTAACCTTCAGAGGAGAAGAAAGGAAGCAGCCCACACAAGTGAGGAAAAGGAATATGGACAACATACCCTAAAGCAGTCTTTTCATACCAGGGAAAAGGAAGCCAAGGCTCACTCTCAAAACAGAGTAGGAAGCTCTGGGGCTACCTCTCAGCTAGAGGTAGGCTAAGAAGAGTGGGAAGAAAAAACCCAGATGATTGCCAAAGCAAACAAATAAACAAACCAAAAACATGGTTTTAAACATTTGATACAGAACATAATATTGCAGTCTGATAAAGAAAATGAAGTCTGGAGATTCAATTACTTTTCTCTAAGAAGCTCTTAACATGGGACACAAGAGCTCACTCACCAAAGAGTGATTTCATTCTTCAGAATTGATACATGAACTTAGACTCTAGGCTTTAGCTAAAGAGAACAGTTCAGTTTCAAGCAAGAGTCCACTTTCAACTTTTACAGTCAGAAGAGTTTCCTTTGGCCACTATTTTTACTTTGAAAACTGTAGCCTCAAGAAGCCACCTGTTTTTCTACTAAGTTTTAAAAATTGTTTTACTCTGGGTTTCATTTCACTGACAGAGACCTACCCAATGAGATTAGCTTGTATGATCATTCCTGAGTTTCAGTTCTGTATTCTCTGCCACTCTGTTCAAAATTTGTCTCCCAACTCTTCTTACTTGCTTCATCAAGATATTTTCTCTCTCTTATTTTATTTTTAAAAACGGCACTTTTGGGCTGTTTCCACCTCAAGGAGGGTATCCACCTCAAACACTTTTTCAAGACTTACCAATTCTTTAGTACAGGAGGTTAAATTAAATTGGCGTTATCCTGATGGCCTCTGTATGGAAATGGACAGGGAAAGTGTGGAAAATGTACTTGTTTTTAAAGGGTCCTGGCCACAGAATCTGGTTTATGGAAGGGGGAGGCTGTGACTGTGGAAAGTTCACAGCAATGGGACTTTGACTCCTCTTAAGGCATAAAGAGGAAGATGAGCTAAAATCTCAAGAGGCCTATGACTCAATAGGAAGAAACTACCAGATTTCCCAAAACTTGTGCTGTTTGGATAGCCCAGTACAGAGGTGGTGAGCAGTTCCTGAAAGTGCGAAGTTCACTTCTGGAGAGAACTTTGTAGTTGGTCCCTTCTACATAAAATATTAGATTCTGCATCCTGACATTCATAGACAACTCTAACCTCTTCTGTCATTCTTAATTTACGATAACATACAATCTTTTGTTTCCCATTAGTACTGTACAACCAGACACATACTGTATAAATTTCAAACCTGAAAGCCTTCAACAGCTATTTATAAGCACTTGTAAGTATGTGTCCTTTAGCAATGAGAGCTTACACCAAAGTTATGTTTTCTAATTCAAAACCAGTCTTTCAAAAGTCTAAACAATATTTTCCACGCTCGCCGGGAATTAATTAAATACCTAATCTGAACAGCCATCTGAGATCAAATAAATTCTCTTGAATTCTGGCTTTCTTTGCTAGCTTTAAGTCCATTTATAATACTGAGAGCACCGTGCAGGGGAAGCAGGAAAGTCTCAATACTATTTTAGGAAAGTTCAACAGCACACCACCTCATTTGTTTTGCGAGCAGAGGAGGGGAAGCCAAAGCCTGTATGTGCTCACCTCCTCGGCTCAACTGTGCTACCGGGTGGTTGGAGCTTTGACCATGGAGGCGCGGCCCGTTGGCAGCGCCATCCGGCTGAACTGTACGCCTTTTCATGAAGGCAGAGGAACTGGGGTTAACCACACCATAACCCTCCCACCTGAGGAAAAGGCCTGTTTGTTCCGGAAGGCAAAGCCCAGCCTTATTTAACCAACTGCAAGCCGTAAATATAGCATTCCCAAGGCAGCAAGAAAGCTCTAGTCTAGGATAGCAAAGCCATCGACTTTATGGGGGTTTCTTCAGAGTCCGGTATCCCGAAAGATACAGTCCTGACGCCTCACTTGACGGTTAACCTGAAAACACCTGATCCTCTCTCTGGGTTTCCCTCCTGGGGAGAACGATAAGGCTGCCGGGCCATGCCTCCGCCTTCAAAACTTTCCACGGCTCCTGGGATTCGGAGCAAGAAAAAGCGTTCACTGCACACCCCCTTCGGCCTCGCCGGGAACGCGTGCTCTGAAGTTGGGGCCCTTCTGTGCGGGCCCCTCTTCTCTTACCCTTCCCGCCAGCTTCCCGGTGCGCGCAGATCCCAGCCCCAGAGCAGGCGCTGCCGGCCGCCCGCTGCGGCGCGGGCACTGCCCCGGCTGCTGAAAGGCTGCTCTGTGCGCGCCCGGCGGGCTGCGGCGCGTGGCCAGGAGTCCCTCCCCGCCCCCGA